GAATTGGGACCCGGCAGTTCAGACGAATGTACTAGCAGGAGCACATGGCAAGTAAGCGGGACCACTCCGTAAGGTTAAAAAGAGGCCTGGTTGGAGCCTTTAGAAAGGGAGTTAGGTACCCGCAGCCTGTTCGGAAGCTCCGCTACACTCGCTGTCGTCTGAACCGTGGCGGCTCCACCACCAACAACAACAACAGCAGCAACAGCAACAACAACCACCGCCAACACCGCTACCACCACCGCCACCACCACCACCACCACCACCATTGCACCGACAGCATGTTCCCCACAACCCACGCGTGCCACACGAGCTCTGGCAACTGGAGCTGCCCTCCATTCTTGGTGCCGCTCATGACTCCCGGGAACCCCCACCCTCCTCGCCTCCCATTTCTCAAGTATTCTCTCCTGCCTCATCGGCTTGCTCCGCTACTGATCTAGATAATTCTGAATCTGTTGATGCGCATTTGACACTGAAGTGACAGCATTTGTAAACCCCCAAGTACCGGCGACCACACGGCATGGTCCCAACATCGACGCTGACCCAAGCGTGCACTTCACCACATCCGCGGACAGCTTCACCACGGACTGGAATGTCCCTTCTCCTGCTTTGCGACTGCAGCTGGATTCCTCGGCATACAACCTTGAGGAGCTCCTCATGGTCAAAACCTGCGCTAAGCGCAAGAAAGGGCAGATTGAGAGCCACTGCTGGCCGAAGCACCTTTCGGCTGCGGCCTTTACCTACGCCTTCAGCACGGGTGTGCAACTCTCCACGGCGGCTCATCCCATTGTGGTTCGGTTGATCACGGCCATTGTCCGAGCCATGTGCCCGGACATGCATTTCTCATCGTTTATTCTGGAGAGGATGGTATTGCTACACATGCACCGCGACTTGCATAGCGACCCCAGCTACAACAACGTCAGCATTCCTTGCAGTCGCTGGCACGAGTGGATGTCTCTGGATTCAGAAGCACCATGTTACGTTTGACAGGGCCATTTGTACAATTCCCAGCACAGCTCATGCAAGCATGCAGCCACACCATGGGACTCCGGCGACAGAATTGTACTGCTTGGCTACGTGGCGAAATCCCTGCAGCGTCTCTCACCCAAGCTCTACTCACTGCTGGATTCCGACTGCCCAGTCCTGTCTCCGAGCCGGTGCCTCTGGTACCGGACCACGCCCATGACCGACGAGCTGAAGGGCCGATGAACCGATGAGTCGTGGCACGAGTGAACTTTGTATATTTCTTTGTGAGCCTACCCTTCTAGTCGTTGAGCTTTGTGCCACGGTGTCGTGCAAGAGCGAGCTCTGTAGATACTTTGTGAGCCTACGCTTCTCTCTCTTTTGTTCTGCACCCGCCATTCGTGGCGTTGCAGAGCCCGGGTACGCACAATAGTTGCGTGCTGCCAAACGTGCAGCCGGCGCTATCCGCCGATCTAGTACCTGTCGCAGCGTCCGGATCTCCCTGACGGCGGTGCAAACAACCACCACCGCCAACAACACCGACATCAATATCAACTTCAACACCAACACCGATACCGACACCGACGACAAAAATGAAACTGATCTTGTGACCTGAAAGTTGTCTGAACTACAATGCTTGTTCGATTTGCTCTGACAACCGATCCACGCGGTGCTGCCTCGTGCTCACGGAGCCGACAAGCACCTCATCCCAATATCCACCGAGCAGTTTTGCCTGCCGCGGCCGCCCCCGTATCCACGAGGGACGGTCGAGCACAGGAGAAGTTCAAAGGACCTCCACCCAACGGGACACAGTATGGAGCTGTCGGCGACGTCACTCCTGAGTAAATGCAATCACTCAAACGGCATACTGAGCGGCGCGCATTGAAAGCCAAGGGTGCCCAATTGGCGCAAGCGCAACGAGTGCAGCGGGCTTTTCACAGCGAGCACTGCAAGCCGGCACAAGTGCGCAGAAAGAGAAGCCCTGTCCCGTTCTTAGGCTGGAAAGGCAAGAAACCAAACGTTTGTGGCAGACCCACTAATTGACGAGCGTTAGCCCGAGGCACCTGGTTGCAGTCAGTAGCGCCTGTTCCAGTTCCTGAAGCCAGAAAAGGAGGAGGCACTGTGGGACTCCCACCAGTTTCGGCCGGACCAATGTGGCTGGTGCCAGCTGCTTGCATCGCGCTGTCTTTTGTCTGTAGGAGGGGCAGCAGTGTGAGATTGGCATTTGTCGCGGCCTGTGCACGATCATATTGTTGGCGATCTGGCGTGTCGCCATGCCGATGGTCGATGCATATCTTGCGGACACACATTGCCCTCCCTGGGCATGTAGATGATCATGCGGTTGATGAGGCCACAGCTTCGGCACGTCTGATCGTAGATGGACTTGAGAGTGGAGGCGATGATCTCAAAGTTGTCATCCGTCTCGATAAGACCCCCCATGTCTTCATGATCCCAAAGGTGCACACAGAGGGAATGGAGCAGGCCGTAGTAATTGGTAATGAAGTCTGGCTCCCCATAGGACTCCCCTTGTCCTAGCTCCAACAACAACACCAACAACACCAACAACACCAACAACACCAACACCAACAACACCAACACCGCCAATACCACCGACACCAGCACCAACAACAACCACCACCACCACCACCACAACAACAACAACAACGACAGCAACAACAACCACCACCACCACAACAACAACAGCAACAGCAAACAGCAAACAGCAAACAGCAAACAGCAAACAGCAACAGCAACAACAACGCCAACAACACCAACACCACCACCAACAACAGCAACAACAGCACCAGAACCAGCAGCAGCAGCTCCACCACCACCACCACCACCACCACCACCAGCACCAGCAGCAGCAACAGCAGCAGCACCAGCAGCCGCGGCAGCGGCGGCAACAGCAGCGGCGGCAGCAGCAGCGGCGGCAGCAGCAGCAGCAGCTAACCATAAAGTTTACTGGCTCACAATTAGCTCGGCGTCGTTTGCTGTCCACTTTGTTGGAATAGAACTTCTCCAGGTGGTTCTCCTGCACGGAGGAATGCTGGGGCAAGAACGTCACTCCGTGCAAGTCTTGCTACTTGACCGCCTTGGTTTCTCGGGACCAAGCGCTGATCACGCTGATGACCAAGCTGCTGTCCATCAGTTTCTGGGTCCGCATTTGTACCTCGCGCGGCCGAAGATGCAAAGGCAATTCATGGCTTCATGGCAACATAAGTCGAGGGCATTGCAGATGGCAGTGCTTTGACGCATTTTCAGACCATCCACCCTCGACAAGGGACGTCTGTGCTGTTTCTCCAGGACTCCATCATGCTTTCCTAAGCCCGAAGCTCTTGCGATGCTTCCATCACTTGGTTTTGGATGCCTTGCAGCTTCCGGCCCTGGCCAGCGATAGCATGAGAAAAAAAAAAAAAAACTTCGCACCAGCGGCAAGGTTCAACCATCTGCCATATTCATTGCATCCGCCCTCTGCAAGCACGAAAGGGCCAACAGGCTTTTCCCTCTTGTGCTTTCAATAGACAAAATTCCTGATCGAAAGATCAGGACGAAGGAAAGGACTTGCGTGCGTTTTGAACACTGGGTAGGATTGTAATTCAATCGGATGTTTCTCCAGTCCACTGTCCGAGAGCCTTGGTGTTCATCGAAAATCGCACTTCGTGCCTGGCCTGGCTAAGCGATGCGAATGTATTATGCACAGTGCAGCTCACGAGCGGGAGAGATGGGCTCTCAAAAAATCTCACAAGCCTCGGGCCTTCTTATAGAAACAGCTGGAATCAAAAAACGAACGCGCAACACCTCACTTCTCAATCCCCAGCTGCACACATGCACTACACGACACCGGAGTTGAAGATGTTTAGGCAGATGTGACGCGAGCACATGTGCGTGCACGTGTGGGCTGGACCGCGGATTGAGGCGATTATTCAGGAAACAGTGATGAAAGAGCCAGGGTTTGGCGCCAAGTCCGCACATGCGGACTGTTGCTTTGCGGTCGTTGTCGGGTCTCGCCTTCCGGTAAGGCTTGTGCTGGTTCGGAGTCTGCCATCTAGGGCCATGTAGGGACGAAACGGTGGCGAATCCAATATATAGTTTCTGTCCGCAGTGGCTGTTACAGTTCCAGCACCGGCTAATTGTTGAGTGCTTGGGCAGAAGCCTGCAAACTTAACCCACAAACCCAATCTGATGCAGTCGTACTTGGATGCCACGGTCCAAAGCGTGGCGAAGCACAGCACCGCACAGATGCCTCCGTGACGGAGCACTGCCAAGCCCAGAGAATGCTGGCAAGAAGACCAGTGCGTGTGGCAGCACCCACTCTATCCTGAGCAAATCCACAGATTTGCACGGCTTTCATGCCCCGGTCTGTGACGTCTGAGCAGTCTTAGCAACGTGCGAAGATCATTCTGGCTTCTTGGGTTTTCTGCCGCAGATGTTCCTGGTGTGAGAACTGCGTCAGCTACTGTACCACCATGGCTGCACGTTGGTGCAGGACGACCTTCATTCTCAACTCAAAGTGCTTGACATCCTGCTCGAACAATCGCTCCTGTTCAAGAGCCGCACTGCATGAAGCTGTGGAACTTGACAAGATGCTAGCTGCAAAGATTTTTCAAGCAAACTCTTCAAGCATCGGCACGCCGTGCAGGTAGTTTTCTCGATGCAGGATTGCTCTCTTCATCCACCTCAGATGGTCCGGCTTTGGAAAACTGACTTCTCCCCAGCAGAGACTGCTTGCAACTTTTCCGGGCAAGCGACTGGGATAGTGAGTGGTGGGTCTTCCATCCTTGTCGTAGGTCACGTGGTGAGCCGTCCTGCCATACAATCGCTTACAAACACGGACAAGCCGCAACTGGACCAAAACGGCGACGCACATGCAGGCAGCACTCCCAGAAGTGCGACTCAACCACACGACCATTGATGATCACCTCGCATGCCCACAAAAGCGGTCTACTCCGACAGTAGGGCAAGTTTCACTCCCGGGTCCTTCTTTCTGAGTCTGCTGCCCAACTTGCCACAAACCATCCCAAAACCCAAGCACCCGTTCTGACCCAGTCAACTCCTTGTCCCCCTTCTGCTCCCCACCTAGCCGCTCCGGCAATGTTGTCAACTGCAGTTTGTAAGACCCCTTTCATGCCAGAGTTGTGTTCGCCGCAGCAGCATGCAGCTTGTCATGCCCCCCTTGTGTGCTGGCAGCAAGAATTTGGATGCACTGCACATGCTAAACTCTCTGTTTCTCCTGCTTCGCACTCCACGGCTTGCCGACGAGTGACGACGACAATGCGACGATGATCACGATTTTCAGTCTTGCATGGGTAGTTGTGGCCGTGGTAACAGGCACAGTGGCAACTTATGAGTACAGAAGATGTAGCAAAAACCTGGTGAAGAGCATTTAGGATGCTTGTAATAAGCGTATCTGATAACAGTGCTGGCTAGAAAACTAACGATGACCAAAGGCAAACCCACCAACCATCGCGGCAACCACCAACAGCACTTTCAATCGCAATGGCAATGACAGTACTGGTTCTCCCACCCTGACTAGCAGCAGCAATGTGATCACATGGCCGATACTACTCATCATGCGGATGGTGGTGCTAAGGAAACTCTCACTGCTGGTAATAAGCTGCAGCAGAAAAATGGCAGCGATCGTAGTAGGATAAAGCAGGTCACTGAACGGCCATCAGCCCCCTCCGTTGCAACGCATGAGCTTGGGGCCGACTCCGCCCAGCCCTTTTAGGGAGGCCCCAGATCTACGAAGACTATTTTCTCCTAGGCCTATCACACTTCAGACCTTCAAGGTAGGCATGAGAAGACAAAAAGAACACAAGCTTTCTTCAGGACAAGCTTCACGACGTTCTGTCTTCTCAATCATCATTTCCTGCTCTTACAGTACAAGGATCATTGCCAAGATCCTGTGTTATTGCTACTGCTATCGCTAATTCTGCTGAAATTGCTAGTTTTGTGCATTTGCTTCTCATGCGTCTAACTAGAAATATGCTTACTGTGACAATCACTAATCGAAGCAGTAGACCACCTACAGGTACCATGGTCACGTGATTGTCGAAGCCATAGGCGAGTGGTGCGTGGCAGCCCCATTTAGGTTCTGTTGGTTATCCTGATTTCTACCGTTAGGTTTCAGGATAACTTTGTTACAGCCTTCGTGCTTGATCCCTCCAGCTGTGGTGCTTCTGGCAACCCAGCACGAGCAGGCCTTGGTGAACATGTGGGTGGAAGGCATGTACCAGAACACTACACCGGTTACATTCTTGGTCAGAGAATCGTTGACTGTCCTTGGCTGCATGACGGCCTTGCGGGGTAAAACGTTTGGCGTTAATAGCCAACGTTGTGCTTCAGCTTGCTGTTTCATCGCGCAGGCCTGTTCAGGTATACATTCTCGCCGTACCGTCTATCAGGAGAGAAAGCCAGATTGACACAATAGGGCGACACCCCATCAGTGGGCAAAGTGGGCAACTTTGGTTGCTTCGAGCAGACTTTAGCGGAGGCACTTAGTCTTAACAAGCCGATCAGAATAGCATGAATATCGCGTTTTATGGCTGCTTGAGGTGTTTGCCGTGCTGTCGGCATGTCAGGCGCTTCGGTCGAGTTCCGAGTCTTCCTTTAAAAATAGCGCTCTAGGGCGGTAGGGCCGGCACGTGCCGCGCCAAGGTATTTCAATGAAACTGAACCCCGATTTCTGCATCTTTGCGACGAGCTTTAGCACTTGCTTTTTCTAAGTACGGTTCCAAGACATGGACCGTGGACATTTCAACAACAGAATGTGTCCGAGTTTCCATGTCACTACCAGGCCTGCTCTGAAGTGCTTTTCGCGCGGTCTCGCACCTCTCAGGTCTTTGAAAGAAGGAGAAAAGCTAGCATAGCATGGGCGGCACGCTGCTGATCGCCTCTGCATAGAGCTTCTCGGCTTCAGCAAGCTCCATGCGAATCTCGGCAAGCTCCTGGGAGGTACGAGTGGCTAGTTTTGGACACCATCAACGTGCGAGGCATGTGCCTCGGCATCGCTTGAGTTGCCTTTATCCTGGACTTGCTCCTCCGGCTGAAAACTCCATGACACATTGCACAGGGTGCAGCCGCTAGTCCTCCAACAAGGATGCGCCCCGTCCTTGCTCGTGAATGCTCAGCAGTGCATGCAGCGGGGCAATAGGGGCTTCGCGCAGGCACTCCACCGCCCTCTCGAGCTCGCCAAAATTTAGCAGTGCCTTAAAACACTGCTGCCGCGATGTGCTGTGAACGCTGCGACATCATGAATCCTCAATAGTGCCGGCTGGCTCGGCCCAAGGTCAGGTGGCCTGCATACCAGAGTGGCCTCGTTTCACACAAGGACTGCAGGGCCTTCTGCTCCAGCTCATGCAAAGCCTTTGCAACTTTTCCGCTGCACACCTAGATCAACCGAGGTTTGGTTCTCGAGTGTCGTGGTCACACTTGCATCCTGTTTATACAGGTGCTGGCAACTGGCAGGCGGTCGTGCACTTTCTGTGCTCACTCAAACACGCCTGTGAGCGCGAGAAGAAGCTCTCGAGCTTCAGGATCACGACTACCTTTGCAGTGTGGCTGACTTGGGAAGGTTTTCGAGGCCGTGAACCGGAAAGAAGAATTCTGCTTCTTGGAGCCTGATTATGCCTGCGGGGTTCTCTAGGACACTGCACGGTGTCAAGACTTGTTTGACGGAGCGGACCAAGCAAGCGAAGCCGTCTGACTTTCGTGGCCCTCCTGCAAACTGGCTTCATGACGTGTTGGCACGGGCCCTCCGGCATGCAGCAGTTCAGCGATGCGACGAGGATTCAGGAACCGAACAATAGCAACGTGGCCGCAACATGACAAAACCTCTGAGCTTCTGTCCGTTGATGAGGGAGCAGCATCATCAGGCAATGTCATTGCTTCCGCCCCGTGAAGAATGAAGGCAAAACTCTACACGAAAGGGAGACTCAGCACATTGTGATTCTCTTCGTTGACAAGCATCTAACGGAATCTTGTGGACGGAAATGCACTAGCTTCACAACAGCTACAGTAAGACCAGCGTGTCCTCTGTGCATGAAGATGCAGTTTGACAACATCCTTCCTTTGGACATTAGGCTCCACATCGTGAAGGAGGATATCCTTGACGAACACCAAGCAGACTACATCGCGACTGCTGGAAGATGACGGGTCAGAGACCGGGTGCATGGCATGACCTGGCTACCAGGTTGGTTTATCGTGTCATCGTGATTGCAGTCTTTAAACTCGTGCCGTTGGTCGAGCTCGCTGCAACGAGCTGCTGGAGTGATTTGGGGGTGGGGACCCAACCTCTGTCAGCGGCTCCAGCTGGCACCAGCTTCTAAAGAGTTTCACATGTGTTGCGTCCAACTGCACCCGGCACACTCGGGAACAGTGAACAGCATTGCACACAGATATTGTCGTCAGTAGTCGTCGATCGAACCGGCTCAGTGAATCTGCAGTTTTGCTTGGCAAGAACAGCCTTGTGCAGGTTTCACAGAGCATGCGGCACTGCACTGGCCATGGCGCAGAAACAGGAGAGAGTTCGGCCTCCTCGCAACCTGCTCCTCCCGAAAAAAGCCGGGCCCCCCTCCAGCTTGTCTGCAGGGCCTGATGGCCTTGAGAAATCTTAGTCGCACTCTGTTCCTTCCTGTCGCCCGTGGTCACCATAGCTTCCGTGTCAAGCGGAAAACAACAGTTGTCGATTTGAGCAAGCTTTCGCACTGTCTGGTCGTGCCCAGATGCTTCCAAGTTCAGCACAAAGCCGTGGCCAAAACTCCTCCAAGCAACATAAAGCTTCGCCGTACTGTCAAGAGTTTGAGGTCACGCCGTCGTATCCGTGAACCGGATCGGAGGTAACACAGCCAGACAGTTCCTGAGCCTTGCAGTCAAACCGATGTCCTGTTCGGAATTGACGAGGGTCAAGGTGCTCTGAATCATGAGAACAACCTCGACTCGGCTCGGCGAATGCAAGAAGGTTCCACGCATGCCAAGATCTCTTCGCGCTGTGCCGAAGGGCCATTTCCTGGTGCTTCGTGCTCAGCTGGAACTCATCCGGCAGGCCATGCTTCTGTCGCCATCCTCTGAAGAAGGCGTAGAATACCTGAGACAGGACTGCAGCGAAGACACCGCCACGGCACATACTTCTTCAACTTCTTGACAGGTGGCTCGGACTAACTGCTGTGGCGTAAACTCTGTCGGCCGCACATCCTCCGTGGCCCTCAGGGCTGCCGGACTAATCAAGGTGGCCGCTGCTGCTCCTAGTGCATGGTGAGCCATAGCGTCCTTGTGAGCAGCTCGGATACCGCCTGAGTGCAGCTCGTGTCACAGCAAGCCGGAGGCATGCACTGCAGGCGCAGCAGTAAGCACTCTGGGGATGCCACATCGAGCGCCTTGGGCATCACGGCTGCGGGAGCGGGAGGAGCGGGAGGAGCGGGAGGTGCGGGAGGTGCGGGAGCTGGAGGTGCAGGCACAGGCACGGCCTGTCAGAGCGTCGGAGATTTGAGAGCCATCGGATCCTCGGCCTCTTGCAGCGCTTGTCGCAGCGCTTGCTGCACAGGCTCCTCGGCGGCCTTTGGCTTCTCCCCAAAGCCTTTTGCCCTCGGGTTGCAGCTCTTGCAGCTCTCTGCCACTCCTGCGAGGCCCTGGGCGGCAGTGCCGAGGCCAAAGCCGCGTCTTCTTCCATGCTTTGAGCTTCCGCAACATGTCTGAGTCATCCTGAGCCAGCGTATTCTGAGAGCATTCCGTTCACGACATTTCACGACTCGCACAAGATCTGAGAAACCAGCTGCAACCTCCACGCCTTTGCCAGCTGCGGGTCGCGATGTGAGATGAACCTGAGCTGCAGGGTCCCTTCGTGGAGCAAAAATGAGCCACTTTTGGGTGCGAGACCTGCGGCGAGGGCAAACCCATGCCAGCAAAGGCATTGCGTAGCCTTTGAATGATTGGCCCGCTTGGAAAGCTGCAAAGCAAGCATAAAGCAATGGCGATACACGATGTTTGATCGCTTAGCCCAAAGCATTGGTTGCATGTGTAGCACCAGCCATGCCAAAGCTGCCAGTCGCAGAGCTCGCTGGATGCCCATGGCAGATCTCACGGTTTTGGCTGGGTGCGTTGTCTTCGGGAAGCCCTACGGCACGCGCTAGCGCCTCGAATGCGCCGATGTAATGTCATTCAGGTGCGAAAGCTAGACTTGAGTTGGGCCATCGAACCCGCGAACATACGCAGATGAAGGTCAGATGTCGTTCTGTGATTTGCAGCAGATTGACCACACAGAGCCATCATGCGACCTCATGCACCCTCGGCCACAAAGCCGAAACTGGCGTAGAACGGCGCTGAAAAAGGCAGAGTGTCGGGCCGGCTTTCGACAGCCTGCTCCGCAGTCCTGAGCATGCACGGAAGCTAAGAGGTCACACAATGCCTAAACATGCTTGAGGCCTGCCTGATTGCGTCGAATGGCCGATCCAGGATGAGTAGCACCTGAGCCATCTGCCTGGCAAACTGGCCTGATGACACTTGACATCATGGAGAGCCCACACCCATCAAACATGACGGGGTGTCTCAAACACAGGTGCTCGCTCAAAGATGTCTTCAGTGAAAAGCAAAGCCTCTTCCCAGTGCTGCAAGGCCTGCCAAGACCCAAGCTAATGCTTTCGCGTTTGCATACCAGTTTCATTCAGCCTTGACACAGGACATGAGACAACAGCAAGAAGATACCTGCGATACACATGCATCGGCACCACACCCACTAACATCAGCAGGCAATGCAAAACAACTGATTTGAAGAATGTAGCATTGCAGGCACATCGCTAGCAAACTCTAAGCTTTGGTCGCAGACTTGGACTGTGCGGGCATTCATTCGGGGGGACCCGGAAGCGGATCCCCCTGGAACGACGCATACATGTCTTTTGGAACTTGCTGCCTAAATCTTGTTACCAGCTTCAGTGCATGTTTGTTTTTTCCGTGCTTGCGTGTGCGCGCGTGTGTGTGTGTGTGTGTGGGTGGGTGGGTGTGGGTGGGTGGGGGTGCGTGCGTGCG